TTCATCATGTAAAATGATAAGTAATCTCAAGTCAAAAGATTACTTATACAACCATTACATGAGAATATCGCTTTAGACACTATGTGAAATACCATATAGTATTCTCATCTCGAGTCATGTTCAGTGAACTTGTTCTTTTAACAAATACCCATATATTAACTCAAGTTTAGCCATAGTTTAACATATGAGATCAATTGCTTACTTTATAAGTAAGAACATAGCTATATGTCATTGTTTCAATAGTTTTTGTCAATGTCATTTCTTGATAAAGCATTAATTAGAAACAATTTAAGAATAATGCTTTGATCTAATAATGATCTCATAATTATAATCTAATTATAATTCCCTTACAAAGCATATTTATTCTAAAGATTTTATCTATAATAAGTAAGTGATATTAATTATGTGCATAAAATCTTATAGATAGAGAATGTCTTTGATAATAATAGAAATATAATATGACATGAATCCTATAGCCAATCCGATTGGTCTTAGAGCATTTGCTAATAAGATTGACTTTTTTTTTTTTTTTTAAATTAGGTCCAAGTTAGAGTTGATAGAAGTAAAGGTGTCGAATAACTCGTATTCGATGGTTTCAATCCATCAATAAAAAAAGACTATTTTTTTAAATCAAAATTGGGTCAATGTAAAATGACTTATCCTTTTTTAAAATCAAGATTGAATCGGAGGTAAATTTAGGATGTTTTGTCCCATCCTGTTTCACTCAATTTTGTGATATAAATAAGAATATATATGATTATTTATTTATTTATTTTTATTTATATATATTATATTATATTAATAAAGTTATTATTTAATATTAATTAAAGTTATTATTTAATACATTAATTTATATTTGTATATAATTAAGATGTAATTTATATTGAAAAATTAAATTTTGTGATTGTTATATTATTTATTTGATTTTGTAATCAAATTAGGCCGTATGCAAATTATACATATATATATATATATTAAGTTAGATATAAAAAATAATAATTCAATATCAAGTCAGAGTTGGAATGAACATAAATTTGTCCCTACTTGATCCATTACTATCCTAAGTAGAGGTGTCTACGTATCATCCCCATTTGTCTCTTTTTCATTTTTTCCCCTTTTGCTTGGTTTTTTTTTTTTTTAAATTATCTATTTTAATAGATTTTAATTATGTTTAGAAAGTAAATTTGAATGAATGGATTTGTACTTGATTTGTTATACAAGTTATGAGAATGAAATATATTAATTATCTATGAATTAATTAATAAATTTTCACTAATCATTATTTTTATTCAAAAATTATAAATAAAATTATACACTGATTTATTAAATTTAATATTATTAACTATATTATTATTATAATAAAAATATTGCTTTAAGTGAAGCGAATCGTTAGTTAACTGTGATGCAATAGTCCAGCATTTTACAATAAAAACTCTAGTTATATGGTCTTCTTTTTATTGTATTTGACGAAAGATCATTGCTACTTTGCAACATTCCCATTTGTCCCCTTTATGGACCAGAAATCCAAATATGTGTATTCTCTTATAATGCTACAAGAAAGGGGATGGCTTAAGTTTTTTATATAGAAAGTAGGGGTAAGTAAAAAAACCTAGGGTATCAAGGTTTCCTTATGCTTAATTTTATTCTTAATAGAATAACCCCTTGACCAAGTCTTATTCTCAATAGGATTACTTACTTGGTCGGCCATACAATGTTTCATTTAGTATTGGACTTATGTATCTTTTTCTATATTGGATTTTAATCCAATAAATTAAGTCTAACTTAATTTATCTCAATTTTAATCTTTCACAACATGTCCTATTGTGTTGTGACCCATTAGGTTTCTTAACATGTTGGCAATAAATATAAGCATTGTAATCCTTAGTTTGAATTAGAAAAATCAAAACTATTTTGACTTCATTATTAATTTTTCAATTAATCAATTTTATAATTATAGATCGTGATTAATACTAGCCATATTGCAATGACCTCCAAATTGCTAAGGAATGTCAATGTGGTTTGCAACCCATCCGTATATGATCTTATAGTTTAATTAATATCTCTTCATCACATAATATCATAGTTTAACATTGAGCATGGATTAGTGTCTACTTAATCTTGTTTAACTATATTAAGTCCTATTCTTGGCATTAACTTTTGAATAAGTTTTAGAACTATTTTAAAACCTTATTCCACTTTGATCAAAGATTTTTTGAGTTAATTCAATCAAGACTATGTAAGACATTCACTTCATCAAACAAGGTAATGAATTTTATATTGATTACTTCATCCATCTTCATATGCCTTATGTTTAGGACTATAAATGAACCGAGCTGAGTTGAGTATTAGCATATTCAGACTTAGCTTGGCTAAATTTAGATGAACACAAATGAGTATTGAGCTTAAATCAAACTTAAGAAATATTGTTCAAACTCAACTCAATTGTATATCCAAGCTTTTAGTCGAACTCAAATGAGCTCTTTAAATAAGTCATTAAACATGACTTGAAATTCCAATTATCTAGAAAACATTAAATGCTATTAGCTTAAAATTAATAAGATAACAATCAAAGGCCTATTCGGCATTGTTATTTAATTTTAAGTGACAATGAGGAGTGGCAAATTTATAAAATCAACCTATGTAGGATTGCTTAAAGAGATTCTATAAAGAAAAGTTTCTTTTCAGTTTTTGTTTCTTCAAAACTTATCATAACTCAAATTTTAAGTACATAAAAGATTATTACAAAATCATAATCCTAAAAAACAAATAGAGGATTTTTAATATACATTATGCATACTTTACAATGATATAAATCTTAAATCATGATTTGGATTATATTGAAAGATATTAAAGCTAAAATGAACTAACTTAACAAAAGCAAAATATATTATTATCAAGTTTTATTTAGTTTTTATTGAATTTGTTTACGAGCGACTTAACAAACTTGTTCATGAACATAGATGAGCTAAACATACTAATGTTTAAGCTTTGTTCTTTTATTAAATAAGCTTTAAAATCTTGTTCAAGTTCGTTTGTTTAACTTAACGATCGAATATAAATGAGCCATAACTGAATTTGTTCACAAATAGTTCAATGAACATTTTGTTCATTTACACTCTTATTCATGTTATATCCAACAATACCGGATTAGGGCATTTATGATTAGAATCATGAGTAGAGTAAAGTCAAAGTATAACATTCATCATATAGGATGATAAGTAATCTTAAGTTAAAGGATCACTTATACAACCATCACATGAGAATGTTGCTATAGATACTATGTGAAATATTATATAGCATCCTTGTTTCAGGTCATATTTAGTAAACCTATTCTTTTAACAAGCACCAACATATTAGCTCAAGTTTATCCAAACTCAACATATGAAATCAGTTACTTGCTTTATAAATAAGAACATAATTATGTGCTAGTCTCAATAGCTTTTATTAATATCCTTTCTTGACAAAGCATCGACTAGGAATAATTTAAGAATAATGCTTTAATGCAATGATGATATCATAATTATAATCTCATTGTTATTCCCTTGCAAAGCATATTTATTCCAAGGATTTTATCTATAAGAAATAAGTGATATCAAATATGTGCATAAAATCTCATAGATAGAAGATGCCTTAGATAATAATAGAAATGTGTAATATGACATGTATCTCATAGCCAATTCGATTGGTCATAGGGCATATACCAATAGGATCGAGGTTTTTTTTTCCTTTTAAATTAGGTAGAAGTAAAAGTGTCAAAACAACTTGTATTCGATGGTTTCAATCCACTGATAAATATAAAGATCATTTTTTTTTAAATTGAAATTAAGTCAGTGTAGAATGATTTATCCCTTTTTAAAATCAAAGTCGAATCGGAGGTAAATTTAGAATACTTTATCCTACCTTGTTTCACTCCGTCTTGTGATATAATATATATTTTATTATTTTTTAATTTAATTTAATTTATATTATATTATATTAATAAAATTATTATTTAATTTATTAATATAATAAAATACTATATATATAATTAAGATATAATTTATATTGAAAAATTATATTTCATGATTGTTATACTATTTAATTGATTTTGTAATCAAATTAGGCTGTATGTTGGTTATATATATATATATATATATATATATAGATTTAGGTATAAAAAATAATAATTCGATATTGGGTCGGAGTTGAGATGAACATAAACCCGTCCCTACTCAATCTATTACTATGCCTAAGTAGAGGTGTCAGCCTTCCATCCCCATTTGGCTCCTTTTCATTTTTTTCCTTTTTGCTTGGCTTTTTTTTTTAAATTATCTATTTTAATATTTTTTAATTATGTTTAGAAAATAAATTTGAAAGAACTTGATTTGTTATACAAGTTATGAAAATGAAATGCCTTAATTATCCATAAATTAATTGATAAATTTTTACTAATTATTATTTTTATTCAAAAATTATAAATAAAATTATGCACTGAGTTATTAAATTTAATATTATTAACCATAAATAAAAAAAAATTAGTTCCACAGCAAAATGCAAACGGGCATTATGCTAGATATTATTATTATTATTATTGTGCTGAAGTGAAGCGAATTGCTCGTGAACAGTGATACAGCGGTTGAGCATTTTACAATAAAATTCTAGTTATATGTTTTTCTTTTGATTGTATTTGACGAAAGATTATTGCCGCTGTTGTAACATTTCCATTCGTTGCTCTAGTGGACCAGAAATCCTAGAAAATGATATCCCTTTACCAGTCAACCAAACCAAATAAGCAGCCACACGTTTGAACAAAGTTCATGTCCAATGAAAATTAATTACTGAGGGCCATGAAATTGATTATAATTACTGAGGGCCATGAAATTGAAATTGATTATAATTACTTTCATACAATATGTGGATTAGGTACAAAAACACCAAACGATCAATTATACAACTCTGAATTTGAAAACAACTACTACATGCATCGATCCATTATTTTTAATGATTGACTTTCAAGTCAATCAAACATGATATTGCTCTAGCTGAACATCCTTGCCCTTCAATGGAACATACTCTCCCAGGTAAACTTCCAGGTGATCGGACAAGGCAGATTTGTCGATGTTTTCATGGTGGTAAGATTTGCAAACAAAGTATATCACTGTCTGGATGACTAATCCGAAGAGAAACATCTTGGAAAGCAACAAGAAACAAATAATTGCAAAGACAACCCTGTTAGCCATGCCCAAGGTGCTTCCATGAACAACCAGCCTCTGAAATCCAAACTGGATGACCAATAAGGTGATATTAAGCGTCAGAAAAATGGCAATCGCGACCCATAACTTTCCCTTGATCAGGTTTTTGCTCTTGACCATGGCTTGGTACCCGTAGGCCTCTTCTAAAACAGAGACAATGCTAGCCAAGTGCCAGATTATGGTCAAATACAATAACCCCGCCAAGTATAAAATCATTAAAATAAAAAACACTAAAACACCCAAGTTGCTTGGTCCGATTGAAATTGCCCAAATAAATATGAGAACGATAGCTAGGACGTGATAGAAAAACATGGCAACGAAAATACACAAGAAAGTAACCATCAGCCTCTTCCAAACCTTGGGAACAACGCTCATGACTTTTTTGAACGTGAGCTCCCGAGCTGTGTATATGCAAGCGATGGTGTAAACAACTGCAGCAGTTGAAAGGAGGGAAAAGATGAAAACCAAAGTGAAATAGGCAGCCTTGAAAAGCCAAAAGTAAGCCCATTCATCGGAGATAAGGTCAGATAGTTTCTCGTATTTAGGAGTGCCTGATCGAGTATGATCAAGTTCTATCTCGTTGTGGATGATTTTCCTGAAGAAAAGGCTAGATACTTCCATATGAACAAGGTAGATGAAAGATAGAGGAAGGATTAAAGATAAAGCGATCTTGCTGAAGATTTTTCTCCATGCAAAGATGACCTTGTAGGATTCTTTGTAGATGCCAAAAAACCCAATAAATTGCATCTCTTCTTGCTCTCTATCCATGATGTTTAAATTTTCTACTGCTTTTTCTCAATAGATTTTTTAGTTGCAGGGTAGGAGAGAATTGAGAAAGATGAGGAAGGGGGAAGATAAAACAGAGAGATGGAAGAGATTGGCGATGGTGAAGAGAAGAATATAGGAAATTGGATTGGACTTTTTGATCTCAAACTGCCCCTGTTTTTCTAATAAACTAAGTCAATGTCTACCTTTTGATTTTAATAATTGTCCATTTTGCTTAAGAAATTTCCTAATAATAAACCAAATACACGGTTTTCCATTTGAAAATGTAGGACTTGATATTTACTTTTTTTTTTTTTAAATGTAAAATTATTCATCACAATTTTCATTTTTTGTGTTCATTTTTCTAGATAGATGAAGTATTTTCAATTAAGGACTACTCTATATAATTCTAGAAACAGGACGACTAACACTTGCTATTTTCATTTATTGTACTTTATTTTTTATTTCATAATAAAGCACTCAACCAAAATTTTAATTTATCTTTTTTTTTTTCGTTTACACAAAATCTTTACTTTCACATTTTCCATCAATTAAACAAAGATTAATTTGTCAAGTTTTTAATGTGAATTATCCTACTAAAATTATTGGGAGGGAAAATGCATAGAAATTCATGACGTTTCGAAGAAAAAAAGAATGTACTTTGAGTTATTGTCCTAATGGGCTCTTGATTTGAAAGGAAAGGGCATTTTGGAAAATAGAATTTGAAGCTTCTGTTTGTCCTGCAAGAGACGGCAGAGACCAGGCCACGTTTCTCCCACGCCGAGGGCCGAGGCCAAATTATTTAATTGGAAAGTCCTCGTTTGAATCTAACCCAGTCAACACGCTTTGTCGTCTTGCTAGGAATTTTCTCAATTCTTCAAGCTATCAAATTGCCCCTTGTATTTGATAAAAATTGTGGGAGAATGAAGTGAAATATTTAAAGGAGAGTACAATTATAAACTTTGCTACAGCGATAGACATATCCACATATATATATATATATATATATATATCCCTTGTGTTGCTCTAAAATATGTTATTCATTCATATACCAAAAAATGTTGTTTCAATAAGATTAAAATAATAAAAAAATTCTTAAATTATTTTATTTTGTCAAATAAGTTTTTATATTTTTATTATACTTAAATAATTTTTATTTTTTAATTTATACTCAAATAAATTCTATTTTAAATTACAAAAAATTGACTTATGTCATGATCAATGTCAAAATTGAATTTTTTTTATCCACCTGGAAGCTGATTTAGCTTGATGATCTAGCCAAAAATTGAAAAAAAAATTATTTCTTCAAAAAATAAAATTTTTTTTCTCTCCTTTCCTCATGATTTCCACTCTCAATCCCTCAACCTAGATCTAAATTGATAAGATCAAAACCTCAAAAAGAGTTTAAACAACCTAAAAGAGATCAATTCCAGCGCAAGAGTCGATTTCTTTTAAGCCGTTTCTTTTATTTTTGAGGTCATTATCGATTTTTGAACCCTAAATATGGCATTGATTGGCTTGCTTCAGCTAAAAAATCATCCAAACGAGTGATCTAAATTGAGGATTAAGAGTGAGAATTACAAGGAGAGACAAAAGGAAGAATTAAAAAAGAAAAGATAAAAAAATAGATAATTTTAATTTTATTTATTTTTAGTTTTTGTTCATGTCATTAGGCAACATTAGAAATAAATTTTATTTATTGTTTTAATTTTGAATTTTTTTCTCACATCACCAAATCACGTTATCATCCAAGTGGACGCAAAAATCTAGCTTGATTGTAATTTGTAACAGAAGTTCATTTATTTGAATAAAAAAAAAAAACTTAGTTAAGGAAAATGACAAAATTTAAGTGGGTTTTTAGTATTTTAACCTTTGAATAAAGAAGTAAATCACCGTTGAAGCGCCAACATTCTTACTTGACTTTAGTTGGTATCCACAGAGCAGAGGCGAATTCAGGGCTAAAATTTTTATGAACTTTGCAAGTGCCTTAAATTTTTACTTGAAAATAAGGTAAAATTATGCTTTGGCCCCTACCAAGATTTTTAATTTGGCCACTTCTTTGTAAAATTTGTATTTAATAGGGTAAATTTATTAACATTATTAATTTTGACCTCATTCATTATTAACTTAATTCTCTCTATTTTTATTTTCATTCAATAAAAAATAGGTAGATTGACATTAATTATTATTGTTAATAGTTTTCTTTTTATGTTAAAAATAGAGAAACAATTAAAGGAACTTAATAATTCACTATAATCTTTATACCAAATTAATGGTGCATTTGATATTTCTTATTTTTTTAAAGGCAAGCAATCCTATGTTTTCTTATTGATGGAATAATCCTACGTTTTTTATTTTTTGTTAAAAAATTATCCATTATAAAAAATGTATACATTATTTGCAATTTTAATACTATCAATTATAATATTTAAATTTAAATTTAAAGTTCTCATATACAATTTTTGTTTTCACTTTTATTATATCAATATATACATATACCCATACACACTTGGCCCTTTAAATTGAATTTCTAACTTAGCCCTTGTCACAATGTGCGAATCTAAATTCTTAAGTACGTTTGTTTTGGGAGAATTTATAAATTTTTTCTTCGAATTTTGATAATGGGTATTTGGTTTTCACATTTGGCTTAGGATAATCTGATTACGAAAAAAAAATAGATTTTTAACAGTACTTAAAGTCCTGGAATAAGAACCCACCTATCCCTGTGATATTCTAGAATTGTGAGGGAAAAAAGTTACCTTAGTTTCAAATTTGACTTGAATAAAAAATTTATCATATAGCCATTACTTTTTTAAAAAATAAGTTTGGAAATGACTAGAATTTAGTTGTAGGTTTTTTTATAAACAATATAATTTTTTTTTATTTCATGTTGCTATTAAGGAGTTTCTTAATTGATTGGAACTCATCAATTAAGACGTTTCTTCCTTAAAATGCTTTAATTAACAAAGGCATTAATTAAGGCGTTTGCTTCATCTAACGTCTTAATTGATAATTTATTAAAATTTTTTTGGTCTCAAAGATTGTGTAATGACTTGAATGATTTTCAGTTATAATTTGATAAAAATTGAAATGGCCATCAATTAAGGCATTTTAATGGACAAATGCCTTAATTGGTTATCAATTAAGACGTTTTTTTTCTTACAAATGCTTTAATTGCTTCATTTTAAAATCTTGTTTTCCCTCTCGAAGACTGTTTCTAACAATATCAACATTGTAATGTCTAACCATGAAGTAGAAAAACTTATATTTTATAAATCAAATAAGGCGTTTCTATATATGAAACGTCTTATTTGATGTCTTCATCACATTTTAATAACCAATATGTTTATGATTTTTATTTCAACATATCTTAGCTTAAAGTAAATACTTTTCTCTTTGAACCAACTTCAGCTTCAATATTTGTAAATTAATCTTCGTCCTGTTAAGTTTGTCTTCCTTTTTTACAAACAATGGTGTGTATACTTTTTAAAAACCTATTTATTTTATCTGCATTATTTGTTATGTTCTAATATTTCCTTTTTTTTTTTTTTCATATTTTTAGATGTTGTTTAGATCTAGTTTCTTGTTTTTGATATATCAAACTTGTTTTGTGGTTTATTTGTTTTAGCTTATTCATCCAGACTATTTTGTTGCTAGTTTATATTTTCTTTTATGATGTTTAATAGATTCCAAATACCATATGCAAAGATTTGCTTTCCATTTATGTTTTCAACTTTAATGAGATTCTGTCTTCTAAATAGTTATGGTTGGTTTATCATTAAGAACGAAGATGCAATTGGTTACAATGTTTATGATGCATTTGAACCAAATAGAGACTTTATTGCATGTGTTATGTTTTGTTGCTATAACTTTATTATATATGAACGTTAGAAAATGATGTAGACTATCTTATGGTGGAACATCTTATGATAAGCTAGTATGTAGACAATACTAGATTGGATAAGAGAGCTTTTGCAAAATTATATCATTTGCTTAAAACAGAAGGGGGATTATAGTTATCTAGACATATGTCAATAGAAGAACTAGTTGTTAGCTTCATCCACATTATAGCCCATCATACAAAAAATAGGATTATGAAATGTTAAAATGGCCCAATCTGAAGAGATGATTAGTAGACAATTCCATTATGTGTTGAATTCTATTTTAAAACTGCATATGTTGTTGTTTAAGAAACTCGATCTAATATTGAAAAATTCAACAGATAATAGATGAAAATGGTTTAAGGGTTGTTTGGGTGCTTTATATGTGACATATATCAAATTCAATGTAGACATAGTTGACAAGCCTAGATAGAGGATTAGAAAAAATGAAATTGCTACCAATGTTGTCATAATAGTTTTGAGGACCACTAGATGAATTTGAAAACAAATGAATGGAATCGCCACCAATCTTTTTTGGTTAGGTGTGATTGGCCACTTATTAAAATTTACCTTCTTAATAAATTAATTAAAATTTATTAAAAAGATAATTTTTAGGTTTGTGAAAATAGTTCAGGTTCAGGAGTCGATTACGTATAGGGAAGGATTAGGACCCGTATGATGCTCGCTCAAAAATAGTATCAATTACTTATGTGTTATCTTTTAATATTGACAAAAATGGTCTTAATTTTGGTATTTAAAAATTAATTTTCTTAATTTTCATTAAAAACATATTTTTATTTTTCGTAAGCTTGAAAATAAATAAGAACCTTATATTGAAAAATTCCTAAAATTATTCTAATACTCTGGCAATATTAAAATGAATCATCTCACTTAAGGAATTTTAAGAATCGCTACTCAAAATTCTCACTATCTTGGGTAGTTCATATTTATTTTTAGTATTTATTTTTTAAAAAACGTAAAATATAATATCTATAAATAGCATAGAAAATAATATTTTCTAAAACTTATTTCTAAAAAGACAAGAAATCTTTATCGAAAATTAATCTATATGCTTTAATACGTTGGCGGCATTTTAGATAAATTTTATTACCTAAAGATTTC